CTAGAATACACTAAAGTCTCTCCTACTAGCTCCCTCCTCTCCTTAGTTATAGAACTAGAGGAAAAAAACGTTTTTGGTTGATAAGAACAGCGTTATCAACCTAGGCTACAATATAATAAAGGTGATCTGTTCTCACATTTATTTGGTCAACATCAGTTAAGCTGAAGACCAAAGGCAGAAGTTAAATTCCAGGATCTTGACATTCGGCCAGCTTACCACACACAGATTTAGTAGAACATGAATTTTTTTACAAAGATTCAAAAATGCATGGTACAAGACATAGCAAACTAATGTTAATTAAGAAATTCTCTTGTTATAACAAGTAATACATCACAAGCATTTTGCTTACTTGCTTGATAAAAACAGGAGTCCCCTAAATGCTCTTTAAATATAGTTTAAGAAAAGGTGCTGCAAAAGTCAGGTAAGCATTTGGAATGCTACCAAAATGGATGAAGCAAGTAATTTACACTTGGTGTACAGTTATCCCATTATTGTTCATGAAAACTAAGTGTCTTGAAAACATATGCTGAAGTAAACCAGTTTGCAAACACCTCCTTTTTCATAAGCTTTTACATTCTTATTTTTGAAGTGTTCAGAGTCCCTTAGTAGGATTAAAAAACAACCAACAAAAGGACACAAACTGGCAATAAACAAAGGGGCTATCCACCCTGGGTTCAAAACACCCATGCATATTAATGTGTTAGCCAGAATTAGGAACAGAAAAAAACCGCAAAAAACATCACCCTGGCATATAGTGACAGAGGTTTGTTTTGGTGGTTGGTTTGGTTTTTTTTTTCCAGAAGAGTTATCCTTACCATAATCCCTCAGAAGGGCTTGTGCCGGTCTCTCACTATCTGGTGTTGTGGGCTCCGTACTGCCTCCACTTGCAGTGCTAATGCCACTGTTAGTACGACTGTGGCTTTTAAAGAGGTTGTTTTCACCACCGTTCTGCAAATTGAAAGTCAGTTTTGAGTGATGAGAAGATTTTTCTGAGTAGAGTTCCCTATACCAGAGGATGCTCTCAGATACAATGGAGAAAAAAAGATGATCAAACCTCAAGATGCTAACTGAGCACCTTACAACAGCAGATAAAATGACTAATGCATTCTTTCTGAAGTGGTAACTTCATAAACAAAAAATACTTACCATTTCCATCTGACAGCCAATGGCTTCTAACAGTGCTGAATCTTGAACAATATTTAACATTGCACCTGAAGAATCAGATATGAGAAGGTAACTAAAGACCGCAGTAGAATATTCACTGCTAAAATTTATAAAGAAGCACTGAAGGTCTAACATACAGGATTGCCATCCTGTTCTATAAAAACTCTTATAAAGAGTTTTATAAGACACAGAATTTGCTTCAGGCTTTTTTTTTGCGAGCAGATGAGAGCTGAGATAGAGTGCTTTCAGCTATTTTAAAAATGCTTTGAACATAGGTTTTTCAGATTCCTCAGTTCAGAAGGATTTTGGTTTCACAGAAGGGCTGGAATCATTCCTTGTCTCCTATCAGATTGTGCTAATTTAAAAACTCAGGTTACATTTAAGGGTATCTACCGATTCTATGAATAAAATAACAATATTTGTTAGATAACCAAGAGCGCTAAAATGAGCTGTGTAGCCCAAAGCCACCTCAAGGGTTATACAGTGCTGGCCTTGGCTACATTCTTCCCTGGCACAAAGAGGCTCCCTTCCCCAGTTTGGCCATTAGGAGCCAAAAGGCAGCTAGTGACTGGCAAACAAAACATTTTCAAGTCTTAATGAACTAGCAGTACAGACAGCGACCTGCTGGAAGATAAAGTGAATAATGTCTGGTGCATTCAGCAACCCTTAAGGCATCAGCGCAACGGACCACGCTTGTTCTCATATTGATCCGTGACGAAGGAGTTTTATTTTCATAAAGACATTTCTGTCCCTGCCCCACAAAAAAAAAAGGCTAATATTTGCATCACTGATGATTTGTGGGTTTGTAGAGCAAATTAAAAATTGCTGTCATTTCAATCTGGCTAAAATATAAACCAAATTTCCTAAATCAGGAGGCCAGTGCATAATCTGAGGTGGGATACACTGAAATTCTCTCTACCTGGAAGTCATCCCCAGCCTCTCACTTTCCGTGCTTTGTTTTCCATCAGTGCCCAAAATACTGTATTGAGAAAGCTGAAGCTCTAATTACAGGGGTTAGCCAATGCTACTGCATCCAAACTAGCCAGCAGGTAGTCATCTCTTTCATCTTGGGAGAGATAACTACACAAGTGTAACACACTTAAATTAAAATTGCCAATGCATTCAGAGTGCCTTAGGTCAACTTGCATGAACAGCCTGTATCTGCCTGGCAGCAGCACCACCCCCAGGCGACGAGGAAAGAAGCAGTAAGGACATAGACCTGTAACAGGCTGACACTGAGGCACTCAGTGGCATCAATTTTAATTTTCTACACCCCCCCAATGAGTCTTTAGGAAAACACCACTTGCTATATGAAGGGAAATGCACCACTCACTGTCAAAAATTTAGTGAGCAGCTGGAAACAAACACTGATTTTGTTGAGAAGCTGGTGGCATGTGTGAGAATCTGGCTAAACTAGAGATTCATGAATCCTTTCCAACGAAAGCCAGCAGGATATAAACTCCTGTTTCCGTATGTGAAGTTAACAACAGAAATACAGGAGAGATGGACTGGTATGGACTGCCATGGAAATAGTAATGGTAAAAACCATTTGAGGCAGAGCATCTACCCAGCTGGATGCAAACACCAACTCGCAGCAGAGGCGTACAGGAATGCATGGGTAGGATTTAACAGAGCATCACCCCACGGTTCCCGAGGTGGTGCAACCCCCTGTGCACCGATGCTCTGTGAGTCTCACTTGGAGGATCACTTTGAAACCATAAACATCCTCATCCCTTCACCAGCAGTGGCTGCAAATCATTCTTGCAAATCATTCTCCCTTAGTCTTCCACTAGTAAAGGAACTATCTCAACCACTGCAAGGAAACTTTCCAAAAGTCTCTGCAGACTGGATTTGTTTCCCTTCACTTCATCACTCATGCCATTTTCTTTCCCTCCCCTATTAATCAGGTAGGCTCTCCGTCTTCCAGAACAAGGCAGACACCTCCCACCACAGTGCAAGTCTACTCCCTTTTTAAACAGACAAAAGGAAAGTGGTATTGTAATTACTGAAGGACAAGAACACCATAATGTGGAAAAAGGCACTTCTAAATAAAGAGAGAAAAATACGGGGCAGGGGGGTGGGAATAAAAGGCAAGTACATTTTTTACTGGTCTGAAAATACATTTAACTTGACAGATTAGGCACTATTCAGAAGTTTTCAGCTTCTACTTACTTTCTGAGTATTCAGAATAACGTTAATACACTCATTACCTCAAAGAACAGTTTGTTGCCAAACTATGATGCATCTCCAGACTCTATTCCAAAGCTTCTGTCTGAGGATTTACACAGTGCTAAACAAATGTCATCTGTATTCTGCCAGTGCTGGACCACCAGTCACCCAGTATCTCAGTTTGTTTCTAGGCTTAATCGTGCCAAAAACCAAAAGTGTTTCCTGTAACCCGTTAGTCAAGAATCCTTCCCAATATTAAAACAATTTTTTCCTATTTCCATTCCTAGTTATGACTGACTTTTCCTGCTAGAATGCGCTTTACTTCCGCCTCTACTTTTCAAGTACTATTCCACATTTGCAAAAAGAGAAAGATTACTTTAACAAAAAAGTGAGGCTTTTCCAGATGTTCCCATAGTATGAGGGAGATTATACAGATGACAACCTGCCAGGAATTTCATCTTTTTTCTTGCAAAGCAACACATGACTAATAAACCAAATTATTCCAGGACAGATTAAGACAGACACTTCTATAACACAGTTAATAAATAAAAAAGTTGAAATAACCTAGTATCATTTGAGTGTTGTTGGGATCTGTTTCTGTTTGCAAAGCTCCTATAAGTATATTCACAAGCCTCAGCTTCAAGGAAAGGAAGGTTACTGGCTTATCATATGTTGAGCTGTCATCATTGCTGAATTTCCCTTCCAGGACAACCTAAAGGAAAAATACATTTATTTCAGTATCAATTAGAGATCACACCAGGATGGTATTGGTTTCAAAAGTCAATATCCACAGCATACACTGCTACTGACAACTTTTAACACAGTCGCTCTAAGAGTTTCAGTGCTAAATAGAACACCAAATAAAACCCACAAGTCATCCAAATTCCACTCCAAAACAACCAGGAAAACAAAAATGGAAACGCAAAACAAAGTGGTAAGTTTACTACCTCAGACTTTATGGTTCCAAAGTGATGAGGGAGAGGCAACAGAGACAGCAAGATGTTAATCGAAGCTCTTCTTAGCTCTGTGGGGTTTACATAGATTTTAAACTTTGAGAGTTCTCTGCAAATCAAAGCATCATACAGTTAATCAACTTTACACAGGCATTTGGAGCCAAATTTAATTAAGTTAAAATTAAACATACAGCCACCCAGTGGTCTTAAATAATTTCCAGTATACTATGTAGCTGTTTCTTTCTAGGCTCAGGATTTTTTTTTTTTTTTAAACAGCAGCAATAACACAATGAATTCATGCAGGAACCATCACTTGCTAAGGATTCTGTACCCCATACAAAAGCAATGAGCTGATGAAAGTATTATTCATATACTGCATCTTCAAAGCAGGAAGTTTCGGTCATGAGCCTCTACTGGCTTATTACAACTCAAACCCACCCAGGATTATCAGAGATCCGCAGAATATGCTCATGCGCATATTGCATAAAACACAAGCTGCCTAGCGAACAGATCAACTTTTGTCAGTAGCCACCAGCAAGTTCTTCTACTCCTAAGACCTGTCCAAAAGAAGCAGTGGCTCAGATTTAAGCCCAGAAGATAAATAATACTTTATGCATAACTTCAAAATGAAATGCAGTACCAAGACATAAAACGTATGTTGAAGAAGGCATGCACAGAGTAGTGTTAAGTTAGCAAAACGTCCAGAAATCTATAAAGCTCTGACAAATGAGGTTATATCTTCTGGTTTAAGAATCTACTCCAATTTCACCAGCCTGTCTAAATTATCAATTTTTCTATTTAATGATGTGTAAGATTACTGTCTTAATCAATTCACTGCAGCAACAGCCACTAATGAATATCCTGTGAAATTTTACTTAAAAATCAGTAGGCTTTCAATATATTTGAGCTAAATCACTCCTTTTCCCTATTCTTTCCATCAGTGAATATGTAGGTAACACAACTCACATATTTCATTTAAAATAAGCACTACTATTGCTTTAAAGAAAATTGCATTAAGTAAAATTAAAAATTAGAGCTTATGAAGTGCTGCTATTATCACTATCAAATACATACACAGAATGGGGCCCACATTACAGAATTCCTTCAGTGAAAGATACTCAGGAATGACAGAAACCCCAGAAGATAAACACCTCCCCACATTTCTGATGATATTTATATGGAAATAGCAATTTACCTGTCAGGTAAAATAGTTTCAAGAGCCGAAATGAAATAAGGAACCACGACATCAATCCCTTTCAGGTCACAGCAGAACAAAGGAGGGGAGTTTAAAATAACACTGGCAAGAACGGGATGGCAAATGAAATCTGCTATCTGCAAACCCTGAATTAAAAGCATGTAAAATCTGACAAAGAAAGATAAGATTAAATTATTTGCACATAAAAAGCATCAGCATCCCACATGAACAAGAATGTGCAGCCACTATTTGATCTTTTCTATATAAAATAGAGTAAGTTTCAAAATCAGAGCTAGGAAACATTTATATGAGCATTTCCCCCAAGTTACTTTAGCACAGGCAAACACACCTAACCAGCTTAACAAAAAACCCCTCACAAATCACATGTATTTCATGTGAAAAGCCACTGCAGCACAGCTTATTGAAACCTCTGACTATCTGCAACACATGGACTGGGAGCTGTGCAAACACAGCCCAGATGTTTACTAACAGTGCTTGGATCATGTGCTCTCCCCACTACTCTCTTCCCCGTGTAAGGATGGGAGCGAGACCTTGATTTTAACTCCCCAACACAAGAAAAATACTACGAAATCTTTCGGGGGCAGGGGGAAGAGGACAGGACACACTAACCAGCAATTTGGAAAGTGAGACTAAACATAGCCATCATAACCAGTTCACAAATGCAAAAGCAGGGGGGCAGGAACCTAGCTGGCCATCATTCTAAAGCAGCTAGTTTATTTTGCAGTTTCTTGTTAGAGAATACTTATACCCCCCCCCCCTTTTTTTTTTTTTTTTTAAGGCTTGCAAACACAGAGGAATCTCACTGACTGGGTAAGAGAAACACAAGTATCTATACACAAAACATTACAACGTGGAAGAAAAAATAGTTCAGTCTTCCAGGAAGTTTTGATGCCATCTGGGACAAATACATCTGAACAGTTTGAGAGAGTCATGATTTAAAGTTGATTCTCTGCCTCTAGCCTTTGCTATTTCACTTTTTAACAAAAATTTTGAAAAAAGGTACACTGATAGGCAAGATTGCCTTATTTTATCAGAAACAAAACTGTAAGCAGAGGTAGTTCAGAATACAACTGTTTTAAATAATGGAATATTAGTGCATTTCTATATTTAAAGAAAAAAAAAACAAACAACAAAAAAACACCCACAAACACATTCTACCCCAGTGTTGTGGTGTTTGACAACACAAGACCCTTCATGGTCTAATAAAATGTCCAAAGTGTCACGTCTGCACACTCATTTTTTCCATCTGAACAATACTCAGTGACAAATTAAAAAAACAAACCCAAGAGTTCCTTCCAGCTGGAAGGCACTTTAAAGGACCTCCCTTCAAATGGAACTTGAAGAAAACCCAGTGAAAACCAGCATCATGAGAAGGTGAAAGGAAATGGCTATTCGGTTAGCCAGGAATCCCCACCTACAGCATCTGAAGGCTAACCAGTTTTTTTTGAATTGGCAACACAAGACTCAGACAGTAAATGAATGCTATTCACTGTGAATTAATTTGCACCATAAAGTTATACCAATGAAGCAACTGGAAGATAGGTTAGTACCGGGATAGGTAAGCTGGCAATATTTCCTCCCCAGTCTTCTTGCTACAAAATATCCTACACAGTGTCCCGCATGCCTCTGCCCTTCCCGCTTCATAGTTGTCTGGGAATTCACTCGCATCAAACATGGGGTTGGAAGCCATTGTGTCTGTGGACATTTGCGATCCTTTCCGGCGAAACTCCACACTAGCTTGAGTTGCTATAGCTGGGAAGAGAAAAAACAGCGTTTCACGGCTTTTGTTAACATATATAATAGGCTCATGGGATCCTGGACACAAAGATCAAGTCAAATTTAGTAGTTATCATGAAGCTGTTAGTTCACTATATTGGAGTCAGTGCCTCTGTTTAGAAAGTATTTGTGGGTGTAACTAACTTTTTCTTTATAAGGATGACAACAACTGACCTTCATATTCTAGAGCCTGTCCCAACTTTCTGCTGGGAAGAGTACGCTTATATCCAATATTAGCTTCCTACCCCCTCTGGAGGACAAGGACCTTCCCTCACCTAGTTCTCATCTCCAGAAAAATGAAGTACCACTTTGCGCCTTGCTCCCTTAAAATGCCAAAAAAAAAAACCCATTTAGACAGTGCCATTACTGAGACCTCCAAGCAAGTGCTTAATTTTCAACTGGACAACTAATCTCTTATGCTGCTCTGAACACCAAGCTGCTTTGATCCAAATTTTGTTGTATAAACATACTTATTAAAAAAAATCCAAAAATTCTAAGGACCCATATCAGAAAGAGAAGTTTGCTGAAACCCACTTTCCTGATTCAGTCTCTTTCTCCTCGCATGACTACTGAAATCACCAAGTAAGTCTGAGGTTAGACAGCCTCCAGGCAGCAGCTACCAGGGAGGCTGGCCCTCTCCTACTCCCTATCCCACAATACGCTCACAAAAGTCTCTCAGGAGCCCGCTGTTACCTACACGGGACGCGGTTCTGCCAAGCTTTGTGCTCCCTCCCTGCAGGACAGTTCTGCCAGCCCAAGCCAGTTGAATTTATGTCTTTCTAGAGAGATTTCTGGTCCCCTTTCACACATCAGTATCACATGCATACGATGCAGGAGGCCACTCGCTTTGCTGGCTTCATCCTTTCTTCCAGGATAACAATCAAAAAAGATACATTGCTCTCGAGGTGATTTTTTTTTTCCCCTCCTTTTTTCGCCTTTTCCTCGGACAACTTCACTCTTGGATTACTAACAGCAGAAAGAGCACGTTCCTTCTTATTTTTAGCTAGGACTATGTTGATTTTCAAAACTTTTATAAGCTACAAAACCAAACAACAGATAATGTGTGCTCCTAACAGAATCATGCCAATGTAGTTCCACCAGTACCAGAGAACTTCCTCTATCTCAAACCTGGGACACTGGGGAACATCAGGTTCACAATCAGTCTTGCAAACAAAGACCCATTAACACTTCGACAGTTGGAATACTTGTTAATTTACCGGTAGGGTTTTTTTGTTGTTGTTTTTTTTTTTTTTTTTAAAGGAATCGTCCTAGTGACAAGTGTCTAACTCTTAATTTTGTCTTTAAATTCGTGTTTTAACCTACTGTTACCTTACAAATTTTCATGACATAAGTAGCAAATAAGCACAAATCTTTATGCATCTTCCCATGAGCCATTTTTTGTCCTAAATAAACTATCCAGCAATATATTGTAGTTGGAAAAAAACACTACATGCACAATGCATACAAATCAAACACTAGGTCTGTAAAATAAGCTTTAAGTAAAAAAAACATGGTTAGTGCAAAGTCCTGAAACTCATGACATGATCACAGACTAAAGTACAGAAAAGATGGGACTGATTCAGGCAGATTAATTTGCTTTTGCCAACAATCCTCCCCATTCAAAAACACACACAAAAAAATTACTTGTCTTTTTCAAGTAAAAGTGCAAAAGCTACAAGAGACAATGAGAATGAATTTACAAATAAAATATGGGATTATGGAAAAAGAAAAGCATGACCGCAATTAAGGAAAAGCTACTGGTTCCTACTTACAAGATTTATAAGAAAGAAGAATTTGGATAAAAGATGCTGCAAGATAATAGAAATAAAATGGAAACAAATCAAAGGACAGCAGTAGTTATAAAATACTTTTAAGATGGTGAAATCGTAATATAAGTTAAGAAGCTTTTAGCTTTTTTAAAAAATAGATTAAAAGCTTTATGATATAGCAAGCTCGTTAAACACATAGGAAATTGGCATTCAGGTCCAAAATTATGGTTTTGAAAGTACCATGCAAAACAATGAACAAAAAGTTACAAAATACTAATAAGATTTAGAGCTGTTCATATCAATGCACATCAGTCCTTTAAATGGATGTATTAACCCTTCCCAGCTCAAGTACCTTTCCCTGTGTTGCACTGTGTACAGAGTACACACCCGGCTGCGCTAAGGCTTCTGCGACTTGGGGTATGTCTCGTAGGGGGAAGGTTACTTACCTGCAGAGTCTCCTCAAGGCAATACTCCTGCTTCCAAACCGTGAGTTCCTGACCGTATTACAGCTCCATCTTCCCTAACCCAAGTTGCTAACAGCCCTTAACAGCAGCCAGTATACCCAGGCATGCCTCCCCTGACCACCAGCTCAATCAACAATCTTCCAAAGCAGAAATAAAAGGCAGAACACTACCAGAAACATCCACATCTCAAAACCAATCTCCAGCAAAAGAAGTGAGGAAAGACTCCAGTAGCCAGGTACCCGGAGAGAATGCCACTACCTCGTAAGAGCTGCTTCTTTGAGCGTGCAGGCTCAGATCAAGACCTGTGACCAGGCCTCTCAGCAATACTCAACATGTCCCTAATCAGGGCTGCTTATAGTTTGCTCCTAGACCCCCAGAAACATTCTTTGGGACATTAATATTAACGACAGTAGGGCCAGAAGAGATGAGGGTAAAACTATACCCCAAGACTCCCCCACTGCCAACAGCACCTGGGCGATACCAGCAACCCTCCTAGGTAAGCCTGCTTCAGCTGCTATAACACACACAGCTGGCAGGCTTGTGACTGACTTCTTTAGGTACAAGGATTAAGAATGAGCCCATCAAATTGGAAGATTCAGTTGCTGAAATAGTGGCACAAGGTATTCATGAGCTTCTCCCAATTCTCACAAGTTGCTGAAGACAGCAACTAGCAGCAGCATGCACCGTATGGCCAAGCTTGTCTAACTGAAACACATCCTGCCAATGAAGCTACACGCGGCACATGTACACACACCCCAGAGCTGCCATATTCAGGGTTAACTTCATAAAGGCTTCACAGTGAATTTCTTATGAAAGAGTTCTCAAGTACCAATCACAGGGAGCTATTTATGCCACACTAACAGCTAAATAAATACCACGCAGCCATCTAATTCTAAAGACTACACCAGCAGGATTCAGGTCCTTTCAAACCAACTACGCATTTTCAAATAGATCATTTTTCCTCTCTTGCCACAATACAGAGTAATGTTCATTAGCTGTCGGCTATAAAGCCATAAAGCTTCACCATCAAGGTCTCAGTGCAGAAACTAAAGCCTGATACAGGACAGTCGAGGCACAAAAGCATTACACCAACAATGGCAAGATTGCTGTTTTGCTTCAGAATCCAAACACCACCACAAGACTATCTTGAAGGACGGGGCTCAGAGCAAACAGGAAGACTGCTTTCCAGGTGATAAACTCCACCAGTACTCAGGCATATACAGATGACCTCCAGCTAATCTTGTGGGAGAGAACAAGTCTCTCTCTTCCCAAAGAGAGACAGACAAAACCACAGCTACCACAAACATGAAATACGACAATTACCCTGAATCATGCAAGGGTTGGTACAGGAAGCTTACCAATGAAGATGGTAGAAAACTGAACAACAGTGGGGCACCAGTTATATTGACAGAACTAGAGAAGAGTTGAGGCTGGAGGAGACCTCGAGATGATATAGTCAGTGCTCCCCCCCCATCCCCCTAAAGCAGGGTCAAGTGGAGCAAGCTCGGTTACCCTTCCACCCATCCAGATATTTTTTCAGCTCAGAACCTACAAAAAGCTGCACGTTTTTTCCACCACTCATTTTTCTTGACTTCCTTTCTGGAGGTTAAAGAGTCCAAGAAGTAAGATATCTCCAGGACAAGGAGAAAAGCAAGGGTAGATAGGTACTCATTCACATCAGCCTTGATCAACAGCTCTTTACTTCCTAAAGCTCATCAAAAAGACTTGTGTAGTAAGATGGGAGAAGGATGATGTGCTAGTCCATGTGAATCAGCAGGGTTTGTTTAAGAGAACTGAACTAAATTCTGAACTAGAACTTGAGACCACAGCTCATTCACAGGGTTACTTGTTAGACACTCGCATTCAGCTCAGGAATAGCTCCTTAGAGATCATGTCTCATGGGTTCTCATTGAGAATGTGTCACATGACAGAAGAGGAATAAGAAACACATGCTAGAAAATGCAGTGTTCCCCCCCTCCCAGGGCAGGGGATCTCTCTGCAGGACCAAGGAGCAATCTGTATCAAGATATTTCGCCACTTCCTTTTTCAAAGCGGTCCTCAATCTTCCAGCCAGCAATGAAACAGAGAAATTGTATCGGAGAGCTATGAGAGAAGAAATTCTTAACTGCATGGCATTGAAACAAACTGAACATCAGAAGGGTTTAAAGCTGTTGAGATCTTATACAGCTGCAGTCCCAGACCTAAAAAAAATAGTGCGTGTGGGCCAGTGGAAGACAGTACTACATAGCAAAGCTGATTTTAAGTGAAGACACTTCCCAATCATAAAACATTTAAAGCATCCATAAAAATAATAGTGCTTCCTGAAGCTAAGGCAAAGATTATCAACAGCAGTGTCAAACATGGTAAGAACATTCAAGCTAGTATCAAAAGCGTTACTGTACCAGGCTACAGAGGATAGCAGATCGACCATGATATACAGGTCAACCTGCAGCCAAAAAGAAGTCTTATAACAAGCAGATTTATTTTTATCCCCTTTCCTAAGGGTAGGGATTGTGGCAGCTAACTGTCCCTTCCCTGCTGCCCTCTTCCTTCAAGCCACATCTATATTGGGCAGCATGAGCAGAGGCAGGTGGATGGGCACAACATGCAGATCTGATTATTACTGATGGGCCCTACTCGTGTGATGGAGAGGGACCACAGTACACAACCCTCCTGGGCCACCTCATCAGTCCAGCACAGCACCGCCTGCCTTACACTGTTCGAGGAGGAAAAGACTTCACCTGGAGGCATCAGGCTTCACAGATTAGACTCCCAGAACAGAAGCTTTTCAATTTGGACTTAAACCTGGTTTAAAAGACACCGATGCTTCAAGCCAACAGAAACTGCAGAAGCCTAGCCCTTTACAAGTCTTGCTACATTTTCTCACCAAAAGCAGAGGCTGAGCAAAAGGATTTATCCAAAAGGATAAATCAGGCAATACGACTTTAGTGCCTCTCTACAAAGTTTCAGCAGTATGGGTCCATCTTCAGTTTGCTCTCGTCTGACAGCCTGCCATGGCATTGCTGTGACCAGTACTTTACACAGCGGTAACAACACTCATGGCATCCTGGAAGGGCAGCAAACACTTGACTAAATTCCGTAAGTTAATTCTGTCTTCCAAATCACTAGAAAAGCGGGACATAACAGACAGTTTTCTGGGTCTCCACCAATGTAATTCTCTCAGATCCACTGCTGCTAATAATGGCAGAACATGTGACGTGCAAGGACTGGTCTCACTATGGACAGCTCTGAAGAGCATGGAGGAGGAACAGATTTCCCAATAGTTGTTTCTAGTTTTCAGGAAGGTAGTAAGTCCCTCTGTAAGGCTAGCAATATGACAATTTTCTGACTGCTGTTAGGCAACTTAGGACATTGCATATATGAGTAGAAGGCTCTGGAACCCCTTCAAGGAAGTCAACTGTTTTGATTTTGAATGACTGTGTACTTCTGCTAGAATCACAACGCCTCTGTTTACAGATGACACTTGCATAAGCAGCATCTCAGCTGACATCCTCTTCAGGTTAAGCACTTCATTAAAATTGCTCAAGATACAGGTTATGTCAAAATTAAAGTGATCCAATCAATCTGAAAAGCATTAAATACAGAAATACATTAGCTGCATATGCAATTGAACACACCCTCAAATTATGCCTTACTCCTTCCTAAGCTCAGCTATTTCTCTAGCAAAGTGTCATGGGCCTTTTACAGAGGGACTTGAACCTCCTACCACAGAAATCCATGACTGAACACTTCAAAAACCATGTGCTGCATACCTAAAAATACCTTTAACAGATCCCAAATCCTAAACCCATCACCTCCACACAGGGGTTTGTGACACAACAAACAAGGAAGATCATCAGTTTATCTGCTGCTGTCAAGTCCCACTATAAACCCAACTTGCTACAACAAACCTCTTCCTCCTATTTTTCTTACTTAGGCCAGTGAGCTCCTGATAGTTAGATCTCTTGGAAGAGTTTAGCAGACATTCAAAATACTACATGAAGAACAGAATAAATGCAAGGAGTGAGAAAGTTTATTCTTTTCTGAATATGATCACCAAAAGGAAGAAGAGTGCTAAAAAGCCTCTCTCAGCAGAGCACTAATTCTGCTATCATGTCTCAAAACATCTAACCTCTAAAGCTGAACAAAGCATAGGAGACAAAATATATCTACCAGTTAAGGACTGAAGACAACCCAAGTATCAAGCCATATATGGAAACACATAGCAACTGTCACTGAAAGGCAGCAACTTCACTTGCTGTTTTAAGGACTTCTGTTTTCATAACACTCTCCAAAAACAAGGAGTACCACCACTTTGTGCAGTATCTGGAGTGATGTTTGACAATTTTTTCAAACATTAAAGTCGCTACAAAAAGTTGCTATTACTCAGACAGATACTCAAGCAGATTTCAAATTAGGTAGTGGATTCTTATCACATTATTTCCTTCACTTAATAGAATTTTCCCCACTAGCATAATTGGGATTGCCATGCTTGTTAGAGCAAGGGAGTGTTTAATAGTAAAAAGTGATTTTTTTAAATTTTAAAGCCCCCAAACACCTGCTCAGCTAATAACAGGTGCTGGCTCAGCTGGGAGGGGTTAACCACAATACAGCACTTCAGATTTTTTTTTTTTATTATGCATATGTTAATCTTGCAGGTAGGAAATGTCAATAAAACAAGGAAAAAAGTGTACATATATTTTTCAGTAATATTTACCAGTCATGCTGCTGTCTCTGTTTATTCCGTTATGAAGTTTACAGTGAACAAATGCTGCATCAAATAACCACGATCCAAAGAGGTTCAAGATGCTGTTAACCTTTGGCCTACGAGGAGCTGGTAGTGGCCGTGGCTCAGAACTTGTCTGGTTTGGGCTAGAGAGTGGAGAAGTAGAGGAGGGTTGGTGCTGCACTTTTGAAGTATGTGCAGTAGTTACCTATTTGAACAGAAGAACAGATCAGCTCCTAGAAGGAAGGAAGTTACTTCCTCCAACCGAGGAAACTATCAAAAGGGGCAGCTCCTTAAATACAGAACATGAAATCTTACAGTGCTGGTTTTCATCGTTGCTTTATTCACAGTCACTGCCCGATGCCTTCGGTTATGGGGTGGAGTGGTGTTGATAGCAGTGTTCTGGGGCATGCTCAGCCTATTTACTGGCGTGGGTGGTGCACTATCCGACCGGGGTCGTGAAATGCCTGTAGATCAAGAGATAAAGCAAGCTTTCAGCAAGTATTCCATAGGCTCATACAAAGCAGCCCAGTTAGTAAGCATTTGTGCCTTCTGTAAATAGGCTAGCTTTCCCCCCGCCCCCCCCCAAACAGCGGTAGTAAGAAAAACATCTTCCCCCTTTCACTATTAGCAGAAATAAAAGAAAAGCGAAAGAAAACCCTGCTTGCATTAGATCAGCAAATGATTAAAAAACACCAAAGAACCTCACACCTTAAGAACGTGGAAAATGGCACACAGGAGGACCAATTCTAGGAGCAGGCAGAGGGAAGGGGGCAAGGTTCATTTGCCAAAGCCAATTTAACAGCTTATTCCTGCCAAAATTCAGTTGCCTCTCACCTTTGCCTTTCTTTCCCAGCCATACCTCCCACGTCCCGTTCTTGAGACAGCTCTAAGATGTCTGACCCTTCAAAGCCAACTTAGCTCACTAAATTAAGATTAAACCCATCCACCATGCAGTTTTGCACTGTTTTTGCAAGCTGAATGAGCTTGCTGAACAGTCAAATACTAAGTCAGCACAAGAGATGGGGTAAGAAAGCAGAGCAAGCTATAATTTTTGTGGCAGCAGCAGAACATTAGATCAGTCTTTACACAGCTTCAGGGAAATACTCGTGGTGTATAAAGCTACTCTTCCTCGTCAGAATCAGAAGCAACTAGCCCTCTGCAAAACCTGAAGCGACAAACACCACTTCTTCCCATTTTAATGAATACCCCCACCCTCACACCCCATTTGAAAAATTAAGTGTGGAATTGCAGTGTGCTTGAAGATTTGACACAGATTTTTTTTGCCCATGTTAATTAAAGCACACAAGTACTTTTTGTAACACATTACAGAACAACTCACTCCTGCTAAACCATTAGTGTTACACCCCACGCAGAGGGCAGAGTATGCACTATGAAATGTATTGTTTTGGTACACTTTTTTGGAAAAGAGGACGCAGTATTTTGCCAAACACACATATTGTGTAAGTACTTATCAGGGAGGGCGAGATAAAAAACAGTGTGCTTTGGCACTCGGGGTAGAAGGCAATGAGATCTCCCACTATCCGTAGCTGAAGGGGTCCATACCACAGCTCTGAAGTCTGCCTGAGCACACTCTCACATCCACACCCACAGCTTGAATTTCATTTCACCAAGAGCTCTCCTGTGCCCGAGTGCATCATAGTCTGCAGTCTTTGCCTTTGAACGCCAGGTGGGGTATCATCACCCTAGGTGTTTCATCTTGCTACGTGAGACCTTCAGAAGTCTGAAGTCTCCGATTCAACACCCTATCAAAAGCTCATGTAGACAGCAAAGCTGCTGGCATGCTTACAGGAGAGTCTGGGCTGCCAGGGGCCCACAGAAGCGCTCCACAGCTGGCCAGTGTGGAGACCTCAGCCCCAGACACCACCACACCCCCCCACCACTGCATCCAGACAAGGAGTTTTGTACGTGATCACTGTCGCCCCAGTGGGAAGAGAGTCTCAGGCAGCCAGATGCAGAACACAAAAAGGACTACCACACATTTCATGGGTTAAAAGTCTCAGATATGAACCCCAGACTATTTTTAAGGTCCAAGAGAAATGCACTACAACAGCTACCCCAGCAGAGGTGCATGCACTCTGCAAAGCTAACTGCTGCTCAGCTTTTTCCTCTGCCTTTACTGCAGGATGCCCCCCTCACAAGTCTGACATTAAAAACCATTTTATTCACTGAAAATTACTAACCACACTCACAAAAACCTTGGGTATAGTATTTTTTGTCTCAATACATACTACTTTTAACAGCTTTTTGAAAAAAATTTTAATTCAGCTTACACAGCCAGTAAAAGATACTTCAGAGGAACACCTTCTACCAATGCTCAGTTGGACTTATTTTTTTTAAATTACTGTTTCAGAGCAGACTGCCAAATCCTATTATCATAGGTAGGAAGACAGAGTTTGACAGAGTAGCAAGAGGGTTGTTTTCGTAAGACTGTTTTGTTTGTTTTTCCATATATTGCCTATATACAATCCTCTTTTAACAAATTATGATATTATTTGACAGACTACTGAATATTTTAAATCTCACATCTGATATTAGTAAAAAGCAATCATTAAAATTCCTTAAAATTGGTGGCAAGACATCTGGAAGAACAACAGGTTTCAAGATTCAATATTACAGCTTAAGAACAATGACCATTTGCTCTTTTACATCACTTAACTTTTTAAACAAAGCTATTTTTATAAAAGTGAAATCTATAGTGACAAAAACTTGTTTGCAGTGGAGAATACAGTACCGGTAAACCTTTTCCTTACAATATTTTTACAGAAACACAGAATATATTTCTAGTAAAAAGGATCTTATAATTCAGTGAGACAGAAGGATCTTGAGGTGCTTTGCCTAAAAGGACTAAACCATTGAGGTTTTTCCAAAAGACAAACAACATGTAAAAGCTGACAGTCTAATTCCACAGCCAAATTTTTCTGAACACAGTTTACATATCTGCTCAAGTCTTCTGCAGTCTCGCATCAGCTCACACTTCTGGCAGATGACAACATTTGTTGCATAGATTTAAGCAAAAAAGGCAGCTCTTCAGAGTTTACAATAGCATGTTATCTCTGAAGAATTTTTAATAAGCCTGAAGCATACTAAGAACAATGCCTTAGATTTCAGGCGCTATATAGTGTTACTTAAAACTTACCAGCCAGCGCTTACATCTACTTTACCCTTCAGTCAAATTTGAGCTACTCAGTTGCCAGTAGACACAAAGAAACACAGGTTTTCTTCTCAGCAGTACTAGTAACCCACTAATCATAAACTAAGTGAAACCGGCACTTGTAGTATAAAGATCTGAAGATGGCAGTCAAAATTCAGGACCTTACAAAAACAGGCACTATACACAGCTGTGGCCACAAAGTTTATAAACAAAGTGGTCAGCACTCACAACATGCTAAAAGCATAACACTTGCTTTGGTGATCAGACTAAAAGAGAAAGCAGCCTTGTTTGGGGAAAGAGATGGCTGGTTTTATTTTAGACTTCAGATTTATTTGTTTTGCATTTGAAACTAAGGCCATCTACAACTTCATGCATTCAAATATTATTGTGTATACAGATGGTAATTTAAAAGTGACCTGATGAATTCCAGGATATACTTGCAAATGATAAATTGTTATGGCTGTATTTATGGAGAAGACTGATTTAAAGAGAATAAAATAATGATTAAGTTACTATTCCTAGCTATCCACAGGTAAGACAAAAGCATTACCTAGGAACGCATCCACTAAACAGCTGATCCCACGCATGGCACGAAAGAATATCTGAGGCAGATGTTTAAGGCAGGGGTACTGATTCAGTTCTTGAGTCATCCCACTCACATTCAGAAACTGCTCCTGAAATTTGGGGGTAGAGCTAATAATGGCTGGGTTACTCAAATCCACAGGATTACTGCACACAAAGAGAGCAAAATATATTTTAGTCAGTTTAAGAACAGCTGTTAGGATTTTAAAAATACTTAAATATGCAATAGTTTAAGGCATTTAAATAACAACAACACAAAACAGCATCTGATATCAATATACTTTTAGCTGCTACTCCATCACAGGAAGCCAATTGTAACTTCCTGGTTGTCTTCCTTTTGAACATTACCCAAATACATGGAATAATTTTATTGAGATCCAATGAACCAGAGCATACACTTGAAAGAATAATCCCACGATTGCAGTAATATTAATTACTTATGAGGTCTTTTGAACTCAGTTTAAGAGGTCCTTACATTGTTAAAATTATTCTCAAAGGGTAAGCAATGAATTAAATATTGCCAACAACCAGTGACAAGAAAGGGATTGAGTTGCTCAAACTTTTACAATTTTTCCTGACTGATACAAATCCTGCAACAGCAGTTCCAGATTAGAAGAGTACAGTACTTGTGACATGACTTCACAAATGAAGAAAAAGAACAGATTTTTTTTTTTAGTTAGTTAGTTAAGTAGTAGATTTTGAACGGTCTAACATTTATCTATCTTTAATTAGTACATAATGTTTATATAAAAGAGTTATTATTCTGGCCATTCAGAACATGCCATTCCCGAGAATCTTTAAAACCAAGCATGCCACTTGGTTCTGTTGTGCATTTAAGGAAGAGTAACATGGATGTTAAAATTAACTGTATCTCTTAGAAACAAAGAGATACACCCATTTTAAAAATAACCTTTTGTAGGTTAAACTTAACACCCTGGAGAATAAATGGAAGCAGTACGAATCTTAGAGCTATTGTTCTATTTTTCCTGTTTGCTCTCAGAGAAACAAAATTGTATTGAAGTCTTGTTTTTCAGATCCTCCAAAATGCCAAATAGCTAAAAATTTTTTAATTAAGTGAACCAGTTTACATTCTGAAAGAGTCAAAGAGTTCAAAGTTGAACAACCCACTCACAACCTTGCCCTGGACTGCTGCAGGGCACTGGTACAACAAGACTCTCGCACTTTATTCTATTTAGGTGCTTAATCTTAGCAATCTCCAGAGAAATTTTTCATTTGTCATGCAAATTTATAGAAACAATGCAAGAATATGAACAATGGATGGCTGTAATTACAATACCTCAGCATATGTAAAAAGCGAAACCAAGTTTGTGCAACGCACTCATTATCCATTTCAGGAGGAATCAGACCAGCATCTTCATCAGGAATTTTAAATGGAGGAAATGAAGGTCCATATGTAAAACGCAGCAATCTAGAAAGCAAGTCAGACAGATCTGTCATTCAGTTAATACTCCTCAAAAATTTAACAGTGCATTTGAGCCTTAAAGGTATCAGCAGTCCACAGGTGAGCCCACAAGCAACAACACAACATCCCAAGTTTTCCTGGGGATCCCTATTTTATACAAATATTCAGCTCTTAAAGCTTTGAAGGGTACACACCTTAGAGCCTGCCCAAAGGTCCAACCAAATCCAAGAGCTGTTAAGACAACACCCCACAGCAGCTCTCCCATTGCTTAGCCAGGGGGGTTACCGATGAACACAGGCACACACATAAGTGACAAGATGTTATGTAAGAAGCGGGGGGGGGGGGGGAGAAGGAATTTAAGCCCTTATCCTCACGGCTCTTTAGCTGAAGTGTCCAATGACACCGGCAAGTCACATTAGGTTACAGGTCTAAACTCCAAGTTACTGATGACTTACAGTTTACACCAGCCCACTGAGCAACGCTCGGTGCCATCTGTTGTGGTTTAACCTCAGTCGGCAACTGAGCACCACACAGCTGCTCGCCCACTGCCCCCCCAGCCCTGGTGGGATGGGGCGAGAATTGGAAGAGTAGAAGTGAGAAAAACTCGTGGGTTGAGATAAACAGTTTAATAATTGAAATAAAATAATAATGTAATAATAATGTAGTAGTAATAGTAGTAATGTAATAATAATGTAGTAGTAATAGTAGTAATGTAACAATAATGTAGTAGTAGTGTTGTAGTAGTAATGTAGTTGTAATAATAATAATAATTCACAAAGCAAGTGATGCACAGTACAATTGCTCACCACCCGCCGACCGATGCCCAGCCAGTCCCCGAGCAGCGGCCCCCCCCGGCCAGCTTCCCCCAGTTTATGTACTGAGCATGACGTCCCATGGTATGGAATGTCCCTTTGGCCAGTTGGGGTCAGCTGTCCTGGCTGTGCCCCCTCCCAGCTTCTTGTGCCCCTCCAGCCTGCTCAGTCGGTAGAGCACGGGGAGCTGAAAAGTCCTTGACTAGTGTAAGCACTACCTAGCAACAACTAAAACATCGGTGTGTTATCAACTTTGTTCCCATCCTAAATCCAAAACACAGCACTGTACCAGCCACTAGGAAGGAAATTAACTCTATCCCTGCCGAAACCAGGACACTATCCTACAAGCAGCACAGGATTTGCAATCCACAGAGTAGCAAGCTCTTCAAAAAAGATGCTCTACGTTTTGCAGAAGCTGGGAGTTGCAGAACAGTGAAGAGCAAACCCGCAGAGGGCTTCACAGCAATGCAATATCATGAGGATAATGGCTTAGGTAAATGGAGATCTTTCTCTAGAAGTGCTGTAACTACCTGACGAGTCACCAATAACCTTCAGTGAGCCACTGCTGTCTGATTTGACCCCTCCTTCATCCCCAGCTTTGCAAACTTACGTTGATCAGGGAAACTGATCTATGATCTTGGTGTTCCCTAAAAGGATGGAAGAGATCTAAGTTGCACCTTCTCAATATCATAGCATTCCCAGAAGTCAGTTTTTGTCTTTTCCTAAGCTAAACTCACTTTTAGCACCACTTCTTGCTTCAGTTATTGTGTCCTTATTTCTAAGCTAAGAGCTGCTTGTAATGGACAAGAAATGTCCCATTCACCATTGCCCACTTATAAAGATATATAGTTTTACGGAGATAAAGTCATTACAACTAGGAGAAATGGGGGAAAAGCAGAAGTCTATGGCTGACTCCTAAACCAAGAGTTAAATAGGCTGAATTACCATCTCCCGCTTCGCCCAGCACTGGGCACTACAGTAACTTGCAGCCAACTAATGTAAAACACACTCAGGGTATTTGAAATCACAGGCTATCATAGTAACTAGCTCGGACAGAAAAGCAAGTGAGCTTTAGGACACGAGGCCTTCTTCAAGTCCAAACCAGAAATGCACACACCTGTACCAAGCAGTAACTGCTTTCCAGTATGCCACACTTGATGCCCCAGCACCCATTTACATTTAGTGCCCCAGAGGCATCACCGCATAGCAGGTTTTTGCTGAGGAATTACCTAGCTCTGACAAACCCAGAAAGGTCTGGGCACACCCCATGCTAAGTCATGCCCCACATCTCTCTTCTGCAGTAGACTGCACTACTTCACAATTCTCCCCTTATGAGCTGCAGGAAATCAGTTTTCAAAGGAGCATGGCCAAATCTTAACTGAAATTTGGGACATTTTCACAAATGACTGAAAACAGAAACAAATTGCAATCCACACATCCAAGACAGTTAAATTAGAGTTAAAACACCCTAGATGGGTAAAAGAAGCATCTATTGGTATGGCAACACAAGTAAGACCCTAGTTTCATCTGGCTATGAAGTCATAGCCATGGATACAGGTTAAACACTGCATATGTGTACAGATTTCCAAATATAACTTCCATATGGCTTTGAGACGTTTACTCCCAGCTTATTGCTAATAACCCAATTCAGAAAACTGTTTACTAAAACAGCACTTTAACTGTTGAAGCTGGAGCTTCACTGAAGTGTTAAAAGTGCAGCTTAAAATACCACTGAACATAAAGTTAGCCTCAGAGAAGTTCAGCTTTCTATGTATTAGGCGTAAACCAACATCACTGAACAGCAGACTAAAACATTACAGAAAACCTGCAGATTACTATGCATCAACAGAACTAAGACTATTAGTCAACAGTGGAAGATGAAGCATGGGCATAGTGCATGGAGCAGAACACCAACGCATGTTTTGAGACAGAGCTGTTCTTTTCAGATCAGTGAATCATGAAATATTTTGTGTTATGCAACGCTAAATCTAATGAGCTAAAAATAGCTCAAGAAATAGCGTGGGAAATACATGGAACTTGTATTGCAGCTTTATTTCCCACAGGTTTAACAAGTAGCTGCATAACCTGGGGGGGGGGGGGGGCGGGCGGGGCGGGAATATCTATCCACACTTGGAATTTTGACAAGTAATTCAAAAGCAGAAGTTTTCAGTGTTAAAATAAACCCTTGCAGAAAAGCATACTATTGAATTTTTCCCGGCAATTTTAATACATCTTTGAACTTTCATAGAAATGGTTATTGACATCTCAGGAGAGCTGGGAGGAGGAGACTTAGACCCCTGCTCCTCACCAATTAATCTAGTTCTTTCCTCCAAGAGGCTGAGATTTGTCCTGCAAAGACTTGATACCACAAAGACCCCAGTATTAAGGGTATTGAGACTCCCCTCACTCTCCAGGGCCTTTCTGCTACAGCCTAACCTCTCCCACAGCCCAAAAGTCCTCACTGTTCCCATGCCCAGCAAGGCTTGGTACAGCTCTCCTCAATACTCTCTGGAGGAGTGCCACTGCCCAGAGGAGAGCCTGCAGCCTGCCTCTGGCCCATCACATCCCTACTGCCAGGGCACAAGCGCCGGGCGGCCATAGCACAGCTTCAGTTCCGCAGGGCAGGAGAGGCAGAGGCCAACAGTTACCTCAAACACAGCAACATGCAGGAATAACAAGCACCTAGTAATTTTGGTGGTGACTGCCATTAAACATACAGACTATAACGCTACACCAATATTCATGACCCATTTTTCACGGGACATGATGAAGAGTCACAGTGATGGAGACTAATATACACACTGTAAAGTGCTAAATATCAGAGAGATGCTGAGATTACACAATAACAGAGACGATCCAATTCAGATCTTCACTTGCAGAACGAAGACACACACACAAACAGTAAAAGCCAAGGATACTAGCAAGATCTCTCACTTTGTTTTGCTCATTCACTTTTGGATTGCTGTGCGTTCCACAAATAAGCAACTCCAAAGAAAAACACGTATAACAACAATCATTCCCATACACGCGTGTTTATTTCCATGAGATTTCTCCTACCTGGATGTAAGGGCACAGATGACCTTGCTCCACTGCTCAACTACTGCAGGGTGATGTCGCCAGTTGGCCACCATCTCTTTGGCAGTTTTCCAGTAAGGTGGTGTTGGAAAGCACCGTGTACAAGCTAGTAACCACACCTCAAACAGCACGCCAATTAATTTTTCAGCCAGATTCTCAGCAATGCCACCTTGTAAGAGAAACAAAGCATGCCTTCAGTGAGTATTCAATCTAAATAACTTCAAATATCTCCCCAAGACAGTTTCAGTTTAAGTGCATAAAGATTCTTAAGTTCATTTTTTCATCTTTTTCATTTAAGAGTGATTCCTGATTGCTTCCTACAGCAAATTAGCCTTTTTACAAGACCAAACACAATATATAAAGCGCAGCCACATACGTGTGTCACTAAGGGACACTGGGAATTCACTGATCTTAGGCTGCCTTCTATTGAACTCTATCTACATTGATGCCTTTTTTAAAAAAAAAAGGTATAAACTGACAATATTATTTTCCAGTAGGCAGGCCAAACAGCAAGACACACAGGGGTTTCAGTGAAACAAATAAGGAACAATATTATCTGCAACCCTTCACTATGAACTGTTCCTGTACAGAGTCATTGTTCTGCAAAAATACATTCAGGAGAACTCAGCTCCAAATCATTCAGTCTTTTCTGACAATGCTTTATTTCAGAGTAGTGTAGCAGATTTAGGAGCGAGCTATTGTACTTTGGTGGCTACTAAGAGCTTTTAACAGGTTTCCCCCATCCCCCTGGCAGTTCAACATCAAGCAGAGCCAAAGGTTTTTCCAGTAATTGAACCAAATGGAAGTTGAACATGAACCTTGCACAGTTGGAGCTGCTAGAAGCGTGTCATTGATCTGAAGAAGAAATAATAACAAAACCTCCCAGGTTTCTCTTGCCATAATTGTCGATTCGCGAGCCAGTTTCTGGACAGCTTTCAAAACCTGCAAGCACAATCTAATCTGACTAGATCCTGGGTCTGGCCTGCAAGAGAAGAAAACAATACTTGAGTCTCTAAACAAGAACTATAAAGTGATGTATACAATAATCTGAACTTTGAGCAATTACAAGAGGAAACATCAATATTATTGAACAAAAGCCAAGAACATGAGCTAATATGCTTCTATGCACCCTAACTCTGTCTCTAAGCATCTTAACTGCCTTAATGAGTACAAGATGTACTGTGACATTCTTCTCTACATGACACAGAACTCACCGCCATAGAGCGAACACTAACTGGAGCAAGCACAACCCATTATCCCAAAGGAATTTATTTTAGACCAAACAATGAGAATGTAGTTGAGACATTACTAATTGTTACTTAAATAAATCAGAAGGAAAATGGCAAAATTAGGAGAAAATATTGTTAGCAAACTAATTTAAATTCTTCCTAGTTCTCCTCTTGCTTCCAAATGTAGATCCAACTCTTACCCCCAACTCTTCGGATTTAGGAAAAAAAAAAAATCTAGAAGAGGGTCACTAAATAGGAAAATCAGATTAAAGGAAGAGGGGATAAGTAAGGAAGACAGGGAACAAGTTGATATTATCAAGGTTTTCCCTATATTAACAACCAGTTCCACACTGTCACTGCTGAGTCACTCAACATGAAGTGTTGCAGAAGCAGCACGCTCTCTTCCCATCAGTTAGTTTGGGCAAGGCAGAACACGTACAAAATAGTAACATGAAACATTCTGGACAGTATCTGAGGACACTGGTAACAAAGCTGAGGAAGCCTAAAGTTTAAAAGGGTGGAAGAGGAGACTACAAATTGGAGCGTGCAATATATGGAAGCCATATTTCAACTTGTAAGCCATTTCCTCATCCCTCCTACCACTTACTGAAAGGATGACCAAAAAATCATAAAATATTACCTTCCACTGGACTGTTAAGTAGTATTACCAGATTCCTACCAAACATTTTCAATGTGGTGTAACCCACAAGTCATGTTGCATGGTAAGCATCTTAAGAACATGCTGATCCACTAGATAGAGATCCACTTTTCTTAGAGAATAGTAGCTCACATTGAGATCACTTATTGACAGACACACTTTAAAAATACTGTCAACTCTCATCTTGACAGAATAAATGTTGTATTACAGTACTGGAAACAAAATTACAAAGAGACAAGATAGTATCTAATGCAAAATTGCAGACTACTAGTCACAGTTCAGGACTTCAGTGGGTTGCTTGATGCTAGTGCTAGATCCTAACAGATAGTCTCCATAGAACAACAAAGCTTGGGACAAGTAAGCCCTGCCTTGGTTATAGCACTGTTTTTCCCCTGAGCAACAACAGAGCAGATACTTCAGTCAAGAGATAACCTTAATCTTGATAGGCTTGAAGTTTCAAAGCCTGTTTCAAGACTTGTTCCCCTAATGATTTAGGGAATCTATATGAAGGGGGCTTACATGTAGGAGCTCCATATGCAAGATGACTAATGGGATAATTCTGAGCTGATCTGGTAAAGGCAACTCTGAAGTCCCCATCCACCTACCAGTTCCTCTTGTCCACAAAGTCAACTGAATGCAAAATGCTGCAACCAAAGTTTGCCAGACTCATGTCTGGATTTCTACAGAACCTGGCCTTTTCATTCCCACACTTGTTTGCAACAAGAATTGTTCTCATGATTTCCTATGAGAAGCAGAAGTTATTACAAAAAAGTGTCTATTACACTTGGACAGCCACATGTTCCATGGTCTCAAATAATTCCAGACATTTTAGTTGCACAGAAGACCCTGGTATCTACACCTCAACCTCCTGGGAAGGGAGGCAGGGGAAGAAAGTTCTTGTATTTTCTTTCTGTGCTTCCAACAAGAGTTTGCAGCACTGAAACTTTATCTCACAGCAGTAACTACCACTGCTGCTTAAGTAATCTGCAAGGCTTCCTGAATATCGTAGGGTTGCTAGAGACAGAAAGCCTGGGGGTTGCATGGGGACTGCTCAAATACATCAAGAAAAGAAGTGTTCATTTCATTAGGGTGGACAGAAGGTCAGTGCTGGAGGGAAGGATGCAAGCACCCCCTCTCTAGTCAGTCCGGCAGACAGAGGAAAGGCAACCTGACTCACCCATGTTTCACTGTTCTTATTTTTCAGCACCACACTATTTCAAGGACTGTGCATATAAACATTTGATTCAGCTGAGCATTCAAACTAGAATGATTTATACAAACCTGCTTTGTATTTGGTGTATACATGTTCCTAAGATGCTATTTAAGTTGAACTGCTCACTTAAGGCTGCTGCATTTCACACCTCAACTATACATCCTCCTCAGGGTCTGAAACCCTCACCCCAACTCCGGGCCACCACTTTTAAGGCAGCCAAACCAACAGCTACATCATTTCCAGGAAACCAGGATGAGGAAGGAAGCTATTTTAATCACAACCCTCCATAGGACGTAGGCTTATAATAAAGGCTTAGTATTTTCAACACAAGAACAGGAGATTTTTCCAGGAGATAGTTCAATGCAGGTTGCTACTAGAGGTCCTGGTAAGTATTCTACAGGAGCCCATCAGCACCAGCAGCCTGCATCAATTCGTTAAAACCAGAAGTTATTGTCCTCTTCCTCTCCACAGACACATAAGAACATGAGCCTTCACTTTCACTCAAGCAAGGCGTGCACAACTCAGTTCTGCATTTAATTTCCATTATAGAATGTCTTCCTGTTGAAGTGAATTCTGAACACAGCTCCCTGGAGGACAAAACATGAACTTTAAGTTCTTTTTCTTGAAAACAGAGTAGGGACTCGAACATCAAGTGTTGACAGCAACAGCCATGAAAAACAGTATTTCAGATACATCTCAGAGGCTTTTGAAAGAAAAACAATAGAATAGTTATACTGGGGGGTGGGGGAAGTGTTTAAAATAATGATTTTTCAGCCCTCCTTGTCTCTGGATGTTAATTATTTCATTCAACAGCCATCATGGTCAGTCTACCACCCTGCATCGAGCTCCATCAACGAAGCTGGGAGAGAAGGGTGGAATGGCAGCTTGTGCCAACAGCATGCAAGAAACAGGACTACTGAACTGCCTGCTACCAGGGCCCCTGGTGCGAAAGCAGTCAAGGGATCATAGCAAGAACTATTTAACGGACTAGTGAAGAACTCATTCTCTGCTGTGCCGAAGGAATAAAGGTTCCCAGACAGTAGATTCTATTCTGCATGTATTAAAGCTTAGAGACAACCTTCTGCAGAAGTCTTATCCAGAAGCATGCTTTCCTCAGATTTGTGCCATTGCCCTGACCATCCTTTAATGGGAATTTAAAATGCCTTTCTCACTACAATTTAAGAGCCATGACAACTAAGGTTAGGTAGTAGACTTTGAAGCAATGGATAAATAGCAAGTTATTATTCAAAGCCCTTTATTAACAAAGCCTTCAGGTAAAGTTAAGTGATCCAAGCGCAGCAGAACACTCTGAAGGCCACTTGCAGGGATACATTATTAATACTGATAAAAGCAGATGATCTGGTACTTACAGACGTATACTAAACATTGATCTGAAGTAATTTCAGGTAGCTAATATTTAAGTACTGTTTCACAGGGCACCATTAAATAATATCCTCTTACTTATCCAACAAGCAGCTAAATTTGTCATAAACTATAAATGAAGTATGATGTTTGAGCACTCTGACAATATAACTTTGTCCAAGACCTAGAAGCATGTGTATCTCAACGTTATCGTCCAAGGACGTCTCGTGTAACACCAGGTTGTCAAATAGCAAGCACGCCTCCGCAGGATTCTTTCAGAGCTACCAGCGAAAGACAGTCAGCATAATTATGCCCATTTAACAGGCAGCAAGATGCAGGCACAAAGCAGCCACTTACTACAAGATGCTCCAGCATATCAGAAATGTGGTCAAGTCTTGAGTAAACAAAACATGGGATTGCTCTTAGTTATCTCAGTTTTACACAATAACAAGCACGTGGTCACACAGTGATGCTATCTAACCTTTCCTCCCACCCTTCAGTCATCTAATAGAGATGGTTCTTGAAGGTCTTAAAACAGGAAACATTCAAGTCTATGAACGATCTGTAATTCTAATTACCTAAACACAGCAGCAACAACTCAATTTGCTACTGAAAATTACAAAACAGGTTTGGAGAGACACCTTCCTCCTAACTTTGCAATGACAGTCTTATTTTAATCAAGAGCCTCCATGGCTCATCAGGCCTCTTTGACAGGTTACCTGCTGACTACAGCTTCGAATTCCTGAGCCTCCTGCGTGTCCTAGCCCTAACACTTACCTTGGTACAAAGAGATTTTGGAGATGTTTGAGAATGCTTTGAACATAAAGGTTTGGTTCCTTAATAACTGGTAAAGGAATGGAGTCCTTAGGTAATACAAGAGCCATAATCCAATCTGTATATACATCGACACAGTATTTCACAGTATCGCCATCCAGAGGGAGGGTCAGTCCATAACAAACCACCTCCATAGTCCATTTTACCTAACCAAACACAAAGGAAAAGTTATTAAAAATAAATATTAGCAAGTAAACAATCGTCAGTGCACATTGGTTCTAACTCAACAAAACAACAGTAGTTATGTGGCACGAGCAACTCTAGTTAACATACACTGCATGAAAACACCAAGTCATTAATTCGTATATCATGACATTATGAAGATTATGAATAAATGGCAAAGCACTAAATCCTGAATCTCTTTAGTCTAACCTGTAGAGAGAACTCTTCAAAACACACAAGAGCTGATGTCATGTAAGATTTTCAAATTCTAGTAAATATTTGTACTATACAAAGACCTTTAAAAGTCACATAGTGTTGCTTTAAAAATGAAGGTAATTAGAAAGGCTTTGTGTTAACTGCTGAATTCCTTGGTTGTGGGGTTGGTTTTTTTGGGGGGGTGGGGGAGGGTGTTAGTTTGTTTGGGGTTTTTTTGCTTTAGCCTGAGCTTCCTGGTAGCTCAGGTAAACACTTACTACTAGGTCATGAAGTACCCTGTTGCTATGAATTAGCTGTTAACAGAAGCCTTATGTAGATTACTAACATAAAAGTATAGCACACTTCATAAAACTTGGACTATTAAAGAGAGAAAAATAAAAGAGGCTATGGAAAATCATTACGTTTCCACTCTAGCATGAAGGAAACTAGGATCTCCAAGGAAATGCACTTACTTCTTTGTCTGTTTTTAGTAAACTCTCACTTCCAACGGATGATGTAATTAAAGCTTGTCCAAGAGGACGCACCACTGCATTTGCCACTTCTCTCCCCACGTTTTCAGGATAGCTGTGAAGTACACTGGTATTACCCTGATCATTTTGAATGACAAGATGCAAGGATCTCCACTCCGAGTACATAGTGCCTCTATGCTACAATCCAAATAAAACCTGGGGGCAAGGAAGAAAGACATAATTAATAAAAATGTCTATGACATGACTTACCAAAACTGAGGCTGTTTGCCATGTTACAGACCCTTGAAAATTCAAGATGCACATGTCTGTGTCATACATTTGAAGACCTAGAAGAGATTCCAACAGCTGTTTTTCAAGCTTAGTATGTTTTTTGTTTGTTTAATATAGCTGTGAGCTTGTTTGTTTTTAAAAAAAAAGATTACAGTAAGTTTCAGTTCAGGACTAGCAGTCTTTTTGAGACACTTAATTAGCTATGTCCTAATGCATTTCAAATCCATGTAAAGTCAATACACACACAGAGTCACTCCCTAATTTAGATTTGTCCCAAAGATTCAGGAGAGAAAAGCCACCAGAAAATTTCCCAGATGCTCCCTCAGAACTAGACAGGAGAAGCACAGAGCTCTCCTTTCAACGACGCTCCCAGCACAACTGCAGCTGAGCACTTTCCCTTACTGCAGATTGAGCCAGCTCAGGGAGCCAAGCTGACAGTGAACTAACCAGCTTTTTGCAGTGGTGGGTTTTGGGGATTTTTTTTTTTTTTTTGTATTGTTGTGAAACCACAACCAAGAGAGGCAGATTAGAAGCAGCAAAAGTTAAGCTATGCTTCCACAGTCACTCTCAGCAAGCATTTGCCCAGAAGCACGCAGGGTATGCCCTTCTGCCCCGAGAGCAGTGGATCGTGCTGCACCATCAGCACATACACAACACCTTACCTGCTGTACAGAAACAAGCTTGGGAGCCTGGCCAGAGCAAGCAGCCCCGGGCAGCAGGGAGGCACAGTGTGACAAGGCCAGCAGCTAGTCACAGGACTGCCGTCCAGTCTCACCAGGCAGCGCTGGGCAGCTCAAGATCTGCCATGCACTGCCAGTTTTGCTCTACACATCAAAACATTCGGAAAGCTAAGCCAGCACAAACGTTTTGTCTGCTGAGACAGTTTTTAGCTGGATCAAGATCTGATCTAACTCAGGTGAGATGAACATCTGTGCCAACACAAAGGAGCAGTGAGGACACGTGGCCGGGAGGGGTGGCAGGAGCATCCCTTCTGGCAGTAGCAGGCTTTTGTACCCACTCACAGCAACATTAAAACTGCTGCTTAAGCAGGTGGTACCATGGCAGCCTAAGCCATCAGAACTGGGACTGCACTATCTCCCTCTTTCCTCCTCTCCCACCAACACCGGCAGTCTTTTATCAGTTATCTGAGCCAGCTGACCACGTGAACAATAAAACAAGGAAAACAGGGTTGGCACGGGAGAAAAGCAAGGAGTATTCAACAGCCACAGCTTAGATCAGCTCAAGCTGTCACCCTGAGGACCGTTCGCCAACTACACTTAGCTGGCACGTTTTGGAATCCCATTAGTTATACAGGGAACGTTTTGAATGCCTCCCTTAGACATTCCTAGGCCCAAAACCAAACAAGAAGCCAGGCCTGGAAATACACCTTCCTAGGGACAAGCCACCATTTAAACAGGTCTGCCTATTTAGCTGACTCCGAGTGTTTATTTACACCCAAAACCTACGTAAAAAGCCTAATGATTCCCTTCAAGGGAGGAGGGAAGGCGAAGCAGCAAGATCTTGGTTTTCCAAACGACGTCCTTCCTGGTTTGAGGCAGCAATCACGTGTGCTTATCTGATAGCAAATTAATCAGAGCAGCCACAGCCTGCAGGAAGCATATCCTCTCCATCCTTTAGGCATTTTCTCTCCTCTGGGGGCCATGGCGGGGGGAACACGTGTACCACTGCAGTCAAAACCCTTCGGCTTAGAGGAAAACAACAATTCTAAGACACTAGCTCTTGGGACACAGAGAAGTCACAACAAAAAAAGCAAACAAAAAAACCCCACCAAAATGAACATGACCCACAATCCTTGGTGATGGCTTCAGTCACTGTTTAACTTATATAGGTTTCCCTACTGCTATCTTTCCCCCTTTCTTCACATCCTACACCCACTGGGCCCCTTCATCTTCCCCTTTCTGTCCCACCCGAACACTGCCTTAGTCTCCAGCTTGTGTTTGGAGTGGAAGGAGGAGGGACAAGATTTCCCCTTCCCCTCTCAGGCCCACAGCACTGCCTCTATCCCCAGAGCAGCATGCCCCTGCCCCCCCGGCTTTGCTGCTCACCACAAGGGAAGGGCAAAGGCACTCTCCATTCCTCCCATTTTGACACTCAAATTCATTACAGAAGCACATAACACCATTTGAGGAGCATTGGTTTAAATAAACTGATTTCAACTGATAAAGCAGCATGTACTTTCCATCACCACACTCCAGCTGAAGGACTGGCAGTTAACAGCTCATGGCAGGAACTTATCAGCGTGCTGATAACTCCAAGCACACTTACTGTGGCTGCCCCTATACCAGAACAGGGTTCTCAGGAACATGGAGGCGTTGCACAGCACAAGCAAATTGTAGACAGCACCTATGTAGGAGCTTTCTCATCTAGAAGACAGAAGTCATCAGAGAGGACAAGGATTCCCAAATCCTGCTGCATTTTGGAAGACCCTCATTGCACTAGAGCAAGGCAATGGGAGGACGCAACCATGTGCCTTCGTGCAGCTCCCTGCCATGCTGAAGCAAAGATGCAAAGCTCTTTTGAGTGACCCTTGCACACTTCTGAGAGGAGCAGCATTTGTAACAGATACAGGATAGATATAATATGCCACATTTAAGAGAGGTTTAGCAGCAGGATGGGGTAACCAAAACCTCTGATGCCACACACACCCAGCCTACTGCCTGACCTTCATACATAAATTTAATCATCAAATCTGTATCTTACTAATATTCAAGACTTCCTTTGGTCTTGGCATAAAAGAAATCTTCTGTTAGTTTTATCAATATACAGGGAATACTGAAACAAGTAATTGCTTCAGATGTAAAATCCTTTTGAGGTGGGATTTCCTAGGGTATTGATTTATTTGCCCCCTACATTTAGCAGCAAGAAGTTTTTATTTGCAAGGACTAGAAGTTACTTTTCATTTAAGACTCCACTTCAACTGCCATTTGAATTGGAAATTGCTGCCATCTGTTAGGATTGGGGTGTAGCTAAACCCATCTACTATGCAGCTTCTTATAACTGGACATAAGTTAAAAAAGGCTGGTAAGTCTCCCCACACAATTGTATCTGTTACAACATTCTGTTTCGACAGATTCAACATACTGACAGTTCTACAACTTGCTTTAAACAAAAGGCACCTAATGCTTCGTAGAAGCAGGACTCACTCCCTCAGAAGAGGCTGTATTTATCACAAATTACTTAAACAGCAACAGCAAATTGAAAAAAACCAACAAAAAAACCCAACTGTCACACCACACAAACAGCATACCCTGATTTTTACTTCTGTTTTTGCAATGCTTCTGCATTTCAGCTTCAAAAAAGCACTCTTACTGGCCCAGATAACATCTCCTAAGTTTCATGCAGCTGAATATTCATATTTCACATAAACATATGTCTTATTGAGGTTTAAATCACTAAGGAGTCTCAGAATAACAGGCAACCTAATTAAGAGGAGGGGTGGGAAGAAAAATAAACAAACCCCTGAAGTCTACCAAGCAGTTTTACACACTCTCAAGTTTGGAAAGGGGTCGTGTTTACATTCCTGGAGGCTGCACTAAATAAAACATCCCCAGATTCTCACAGACAGACCTGGAAAGAAATTGTCAGCATTAACACTGACAGAACAACTGAGAGATGTTAAGTTAAAATATTTACCATCTACTATGAAACTGAGCATAATTCCAGTATTCCTTAGTGTGATAAATAATTTGGGTTTCAATATATTCCCTCCAGATCCATTTCAGCTTAGGAATTTTAGTAGCTATCACCATATAAACCACTGAAAATGGATGTTTCAGCATTCAAGACCAAAGATCCTCCATTCGTAAACACTGTAGAAGTTGGTGAGTGTGAAAGACCTTACTAATGAGCCCATAAAACTCCAAAAATAAAGATATTTAAGTTCTATTTCCAGTCCCCACAGAATTAATATGAACAGCTGCAGCCAAAATATTTAAACTCCTGGATCAGTAAAGTTAGACAGTGAGAACTGCTCAACTAAGTAACAGACCCACACTCCACAACTACTTTGAAGGAACATGCAGGAGCTCAGAGCCTAAAGCAGAGGTGCGCTTTTTGGAGTGCGTGCAGGGGAGAGGTCAGGGAACCAATATCGGCGTACAAAGCAGTTCCTCAGAAAGCGTGTGCCGAGTGAGGGGAGTGTTGGGGGCAAACATGAACATTTAAGCCTTTGTGCTCAGCAGCTTCATATGTAAAATGAAATGTTTGCCTACAATGCAAAAGGATTTCAAGCAGAGACAAGCTGTCCCAAAAATGGATGCTTCTTGGGTTTTATCAGAACCAAAACAGCAAAACCTGAGCTGAAAATTCAACAGAGGCAATTGTTATTAATATAGTAGATGCAAAGACCATCAGCAGAGAGATGCCCAAGGAAGACTGAAGACCTAGTAGAGCCTAAACCAGAGAAGCATCAACATAAAGGGTGTACACCATAAAGTTCTGGGACATTAGATATATTTTATAATTATTTCATAATTATTTCACAGTAAACAAGTAATCCCTCTCTCTAACACGACCCCTACTACATCAACAGTACTGACATCTGCTCTCTAGAGGCAACAATTACTGTCAGAAAGCCATCTTGCTACAACCCATGCTCCCTGGATCACGTACCAAAGAGGTTTATGAGCAATTTTTCAAGCCAGCTGAGGCCTATGACATCCTGAGCACGGACAACTGCCACGTGCCCACTTGCCCCACCTTGACGCTGCTGCCCCTCTGCCCTCCAAGTTTCTGCTGGAGAGAGCGACTTAGACCTCGCGAAGACTAACTCAGCACTTCTCATACTAAGCCCACCAGGACTGAAGAAGCGCAGACCCCTCCAGGCAGCTCACCTTTGGAGCCCATCCTACAGGTAGGCTCTGCCCTCGGCACGCACCATGTGTAAAGGACAACAGGCAGA